ACAGGGCCGTGTTCCCATATCCGTACTTCCCGTACTTAGCATACTTAGTTTGAGTACGTAGAGTGTTCCGATTATGATCGCGGCAAAACAAGTGTACTTGAAAGGACCCGTATGTGTACTCAAAACGGCCAAAATGCTGAGTGTGCAACGGTGTACACCATAGACATATATACGTAGACGCCTCATAGACTGACGCTGCCAGTTAGAGCTGACGTAGCAGCGCGGCCGCCATCTTGTATGGGTCCCCAGTGCGTCCCCAGTGCATTCATTTCTATGGAGGAAGGTGTAACTACAATAATAAGCATAACTCCCCGAATTTTTACCGGATTTTCACACGGTTTGGTTTGTTATAAATGGCAGAGATTTATTTATGTTACAGGACAAATTAATAATTTTTTTTTTTTTTTTAATAATAAGAATTGTTCAATCTTACTTGTGAAAGGTAATCCCACGCGATCTGGTGTCAATACTGCGCCGTAAGCTGCACAAAATACTGGCATAGCTTGCTCTCCCGTTGACTCCTATGCTAGACTAGAGTGAGGAGACCCAACCAATATGGCGGCGACGCTGGGTTACGTTCCAGCACGTCATGAGGCGTCTATGTACAGTATATACTGTATAATAATAATAATAATAAAAAGTACGGAGAATAATATCATAATTCTACAATATATATATATATATATATATATATATATATATTGTAGAATTATGATATTATTCTCCGTACTTTTTATTGCTGGTAGTGGCAGAGTGGCAAGATATAGCTATTGATAGATGGACACAGGCCTTAACAATGAGGGGCCTCAGCCCTTCAGATGCTGACAGATGTGTCATCATAAGAGATCAATGGTATTCTCTGTCTTTTGATGCATGATGTCGGCGGTGATGGTGTAGTGAGGGCTTTCATGCCATCAATTATGTCAATGGTCTCACACCATAATGTATGACAGCTGTGTGTGTGTGTTTGTGCGTGTGTGTGTTTGTGCGTGTGTGCATGTGTGTGTGGTTGTGTGTGTGTGTTGGCACACAGTGCGTGTGATGCTTCTGTGCAGTAGTGTTGGAGTAGGAGTGCTTGTAGTTAGTGCATGCTGCATGCTGCTTCTGCTTGCTTCTCTCTGCTTTCAGCTACTGCCACCAGATAGCTCCTTGTTTCAGGGGCGAAAAGAGGAGCCGAGTGCGTAAGCCTCCTCAGCCGGTACAGAGCCTCTCCACCGCCAAGATCTCATACACGCCTCCCTGTGGCACACATGGTAACTGGTCCCTTGCGGTCCCAGGCTAAGCTGTACGGGTTCTCAGAGCAGCAGTGGGCCCCATGCAGGCCCATCGGTGAGTGGAAATGCCCTGGTGCCCGTCAACCACTGTCCCAGCTATGGGTGAATAGTTTCAGCTATGGGTAAATAGTTAAGACCCCAACGGTGGAGCAGGCGAAAGATGATGGGTATGAGAACCACCACAACGGCTGGGAAGGCGATAGAAGGCAACCCCACAGCTACATGGGTTAACTTGGGAGGGTACAGTGGCTAGGGGAGCAAACCCCAAAGAAAAACCTGCACCTGGGGACAGATACAGGCGGAGTCCAACTGACCGGACCACCGGCAGCCCCCTGCAACTCCTGCCAGACGAAGGTCGTCATGGGTTCCCTCATGCCACTGGAGGTCCATCTGGTAGGAGTGAAGATGGTGGGAGTGAGGTCTGTGCAACCACACCCTCACCTTAATCCTTACCTATGCGCAAGCTTCTTGTCCCCCCCCCCCCCCCCCCCCCCCCCACCCACCCAAAAAGTCCTGTGGCGATGTGGAATGGCGGTGGGTACAGGCCAAGGATGTGGCTGGAAGCATCTAGCTAAACCATGCACATAGGCGGCAATGGAGTGATGGTTGCTAGGACTGCGGGTTGGAGCAGTGCGTCTTTTCGGCAGCTTCCATTGCGACTGAGCAGCCCCACACTGCTCACCCCTGAGGTAGGGAAGGACCTGGAAAAGGTGGTCCTCACACTCTGGACGGTAAACCGCAACCATTGGAGCATCCCCCTTTGCGGTTGAAAAATTAAAGTAAAAAATAAGTTAAGCATTGCTTCGTGGAATGTTCGCACGCTGCTGGACCTGGCCAAAATTCCTGACAGGCCCCACCACAGGACAGCACTGGTGGCCCTTGAGCTCGCCAGACATAACATCGACATAGCAGCTCTCAGAGACCAGACTACATGGAGAGGACTCCCTGACAGAGGTTGGTGCTGGGTACACCTTCTTTTGGAAGGGGGTCCCCGAAGGCACTCGCCGTAATCATGGAGTTGGCTTTGCTGTTTAGTCTAAACTGCTGCAGCACATTCCAGAATCCCCCATTGGCATCAATGAAAGACTGATGATATGGCGCATTCCCCTGGCAAAGGAACGCTTCGCCACTCTCATCAGTGCATATGCACCAACTCTTGACTCCTTGACTATGTGATTGTCCATCAAAAGGACAGACAAGATGTCCTCACCACCTGTGTCATGCGCGGAGCTGAGTGCTGGACTGACCACCTCATGGTCAGATCCAAACTACTTATGAGCATTCAACCCCGCGGCCCGTGGACAGCTGCAAACAAGAAACTTAACTGTACAGCACTGAACAGCCTTACCACCAAAGACAACCTTCGACGGCTCCTTGCTGAAAACCTCAAAAAGATCCCGGAGGAATCAGCCGACTGGACAGCTCTGCGCCAGGCTATTCATAGCGCAGCCTCAGACAAGAAAACGTCACCAGGACTGGTTTGACTGTAACTCAGCTGAGATACAGTCACTTCTTAAAACCACGCATGAGGCCCACAAGGCTCTCCTGTCCTGCCCTGGATCTCCCACCCTTAAAACCACCTTTACTACTGCAAGAACAGCAACCCAGCGAGCCCTCCGGACTATGGAGGACACCTGGTGGGTGCAAAAGGCGCAAGAGATCCAGAACTTGGCAGACTGCAATAACACTCAAGGCTTTTACGATGCCATAAAAGCATTGTACGGCCCGAGGAAGCGGGCATTTGCCCCAGTCCGATCAGCTGACAGGTCCACGGTCTTCAAGGATCGCCAAGAGATTCTTGCCCGTTGGACAAATCATTTTGAGAGTCTCCTCAACCACGCTAATCCTGTCGACCCACATATTCTGGATAAACTCCCAGACCTGCCACCAATCATGCACCTGGACACCCCACCACTCTACTCAGAAATCCGGCAAGTCATTGCAGGGCTGAAGAACAATAAAAGCACCGGACCCGATGGAATCCCTGCAGAGGTTTTCAAACATGGGGGATACATCCTCACGCTCGCCTGCACCTCCTGATCCAAAACATCTGGGAACATGGGACCCTCCCACAGGACTGGAAGGATGCTAACATTGTGGTCATTTACAAACAAAGAAAGAAAGGCGACAGAGCAGTCTGCGGCAACAGCCGTGGAATATCTCTCCTCTCCATCACAGGGAAAGCACTGGCCAAGATCATGCTCAGCAGATTGGTTGAGCACATCTCGGAAATTGTGCTTCCGGAAACACAGTGTGGCTTCCGGAAGACCAGATCTACGACAGACATGGTTTTTGTCTTGAGGCAGCTGCTGGAGAAGAGCCGAGAACATCACAAAGACCTTTACATAGCCTTCATCGACCTCAGCAAAGCCTTTGACACCATCAACCGTGAGTTGCTCTGGAAACACCTCTCCAAACTTGGGGTACCACCCAAGTTTCTCAGCATCCTACAGCAGCTGCATGACGGGATGCAAGCCAGAGTGCTTGCAGGAGAACTCCAGTCACAGTTCTTTGAGGTAAAAGTTGGGGTGAAGCAAGGCTGTGTCTTGGCTCCGGTGCTGTTTAACATCATCCTCTCTGCTATCACCTGCCTCTTCCACCGTGTCATGGGACATGAAGACGGTGTCCATGTGGAATACCGCCTTGACAGAAGCCTCTTCAACATCCGTCGGCTCCAGGCCCGCACAAGGACCAAGACCCGCCAAATCTGAGCTTCAGTATGCTGATGACTGTGCCGTCTTAGCTCAGCTCTATGCAGCATGCCCTCAACACAATATCCAGTCTGTACCAATCCTTTGGCCTACAGGTTAACATTCAAAAAACCAAGGTCATGTCCCATCTCACCACCCCCGCCCCCACACCCCCCAGTTTTCACATAAACGGTGTTCCACTTCAAACAGTGGATCACTTCACCTACCTTGGCTCCACTTTATCCTCATGCTGCTCCCTTAACACAGAAATACACACCCGGATCAATAAAGCCTCATCATCTTTTGGATGCCTGCGCAGCAGGGTTTATGAAAACAGTAACCTGAAGGTCAGTACCAGGGTCGCTGTTTACAATGCGGTATGTCTCTCCACTCTGCTTTATGGGGCAGAGTCATGGACCCCATACCACCAGCACATCACCAACCTAGAAGCCTTCCATATCCGCTGCCTACAGAAGATTCTCAGTCTGTCCTGGGAAGATCGTATCCCCCATACAGACATCCTCAGCAACACTGGCTCAATCTGTATGGAAGCAACTGTGGCCAAAAAACATCTGCGCTGGATAGGACATACCACACCGCCTGCCCCGCCAAGTCCTCTACAGCCAACTAATGGGCACAAAGCGCTCTGCTGGAGGGCAAAAGCGGCACTTTAAGGATTACACAAGGGACATCCTAAAGGGAGCGAACATCCCCCTCACGCAGCTTGAAACTCTGGCACTTGACAGATCAGCCTGGCAGGTCACTTGTGCCACTGCAGTTTCTCAAATACACCAAAGCAACCAAGACCGACGATCCAAGAGGCGCACCCAGAGACACCAGTGGGCGGCTGGTACCCCCCTGGCATCTGGTTTCCCTTGCTCTATCTGCGGACGAGTGTGCGGCTCAAGGATCAGACTCCACGCCAATGAGAAGTGGCACTAGCGGCAATGTCGCTAAACCCCCCCCCCCCCCCCATCCCTGGAGCAAGTGTCATCATCGAAAACGATGGACAGCTAAACATGTGTGTGTGTGTGTAGGCAGGAGGTAGTCTAGTGGTGATGGTGCTTGACTCCAAGCCGAAAGGTTCTGGGTTCGAACCCCAATGTCCTTCCTTGCTTTGGATAAAATAGTTTTTTTAATGACTAAAAAGTAAAGTGTGTGTGTATGTGCACGCACCACCACCAATTACTTGAAAAGGACTTTTAATAGTCTCTCTCTCTCTCTCTCTCTCTCTATGTATGTGTGTTTATGTCAGTAATATAAATAGTAACATACGACAGGATCCGCTGTGCCCATCCACAGTCTGTCACTTGATTGTAAAAAGATGATGCCTAAACATAGAGGCAAAATAAAACAGGCAGTTGGAGGGCCAGTCAGCCAGGGGACCTGATTTGTCAGCTGTCTGCTCTAATACTGTAACAACATCCAGACTCTGAACCAGAAACACATAACCATGTGTGTGTGTGTGTCAGTTAAACTAATGACTTCAACACCTATGGTAAGTGCACATAAATAGCACCTGTCTCTCATTCTCATATGTGTACTGTATGTATGTATGTATGTATGTATGTATGTATGTATGTATGTATGTATGTATGTACAGGTATGTATGTATGTATGTATGTATGTATGTGTGTGTGTGTGTGTGTGTTTGTACAAGGCTGCCTGTGTGTGTGTGTTTATTTGTGTGTGTGTGTGTGTGTGTATTTCTTTGTGTGTGTGTTTCTTTGTGTGTGTGTTTCTTTGTGTGTGTGTGTGTGTGTGTGTGTGTGTGTGTGTGTGTGTGTGTGTGTGTATGTGTGTGTGCATTCTTTCCTCTGACCATGTCGCAGTGATGTATTATTGATCAAATAGTTGACTCTGTCAACTTCTAACACACTGCAGGACGCAGAGAAATACTGAGACCAAGATGCTGAACCAAGACACACACACACACACACACACACTTGTTTTTGACTGTTTTGGACCATATTTTAGTTAACTCCTGCTCTCCCTCCCACTCTCTTATCTTTTTTTCTCTCTCTCTCTACTCTTTCTCTACATCGCTTTTTTGCTTTCTCTACCTCTAACCCTCTCTGTTTTTGTTTTTCACTTCTCTCTCCCTCTCGCTTTCTGTTTCCCTCTTTATTTATCTCCTCTGTCCATTCCTCTCTCTCTCTCTCTCCCTCCATGTCTCTCTCTCCCTCTCTCGCCCCACCATGGTGATTACCATACATTACCACCTAGGAGAATTAAGGGCTGACTCACACATGGCTCCATTTTACACCCTCTGGTCCCATGTGTGTATGTGTGTGAGTGTGTGTGTACGTGCACATGTGCGCTTGTTTGTGTACCTGTGTGTGTTTATGTGCGTTTATATGTAGGTGTGGTTCAACAAGCTCAAGCGAACACACACACAGCAGTTTGTAAAGCAGTGGGGGAGGGGGGTTGTGATGAGACACACCAGCCCCCCCCCCCCCCAGAGTGATCTTTTGGGGGGGCTGTAATGTAAACTAACTCGCTGTGACAGTGAGGGGTGCCTCACCAACAACACACTGTGGACCCCCCAGGGAGTTACGGCTCTGTGTCTGTCCTTATGGGTGTTTTTATATGTTTGTGTGTGTGTGTGTGTGTGTGTAATGGGTGTGTGTGCGTGCATGTTAATGTTCACAGTGTGGGTTTTTTTCACGCTTTATTTTTAGCTCACTGGCGAGGGAAATTCTGACAAACTAAAAGTTACACAACCCCGAGGATTCACACACACACACACCAGTATTTAAATATCCTATTTCCACACCTTACACCTGGTGTTTCCACAAAAAGTGAGAAATAAAATCACTGCAAACTACTGACTATTAAGTCACTATACAGTTTTTTGTCAACATACCGCATTCATGCCACACTTTGGCATGCGGTTCTAGCCCTACTTTTTATTTGTTTCTATTTCATATACAGAAAGTGTGACCACACTCTGATCTTTGTTAAAATTATTATTTTTTATTGTTTTAGGAATGAGCATTGAAATTATAAAAAAGCTGAAGTACAAGTTACACCCACAAACACAATATATGTATAAATTAGTGGTGGGCATAGATTAATTTGTTTAATCTAGATTAATCTAACTGTAATCTTGGAATTAATCTAGATTAAAATGGCTCATTTGAATTCTGTCGAAGGCATTCATAATATGTGTGTGCTACCTAAATAATGACTACAAATAAGTCTGCGCGATTGTTGATGGGGGGGGGGGGGCGCGATTGTTGACCGGAGGGGGAGAGGTGCGCGATTGTTGACGGGGTGCGCGATTGTTGACCGGAGGGGGAGAGGTGCGCGATTGTTGACGGGGGGGGGGGGGGGGGCAGTAATGACACTGCGAATACGGACGTTTATCATCTTTTTTTAAATATATATCTTTTAAGAGGCCCCTGACTGGCCGAGGCCCCGGGCTGAAGCCCAGGTAAGCCTGTGCATTAAGGCGCCACTGCCCAGACCTACGACCGACGGGGGGGGGTCGCCGGGCAGAGGACGCAGGCGTTCCGCAGCGCAGCCGTTCCGCAGCGCAGCCGTTCCGCAGCGCAGCCGTTCCGCAGCACTTACCTTCCTTGGTGGAAATCCGGTATAGACCCAGCTCCCAACCCAACTTTGAGAATAGATTAACGGTGATCATTTTTTTATCGCGTGATAAGAGTCTTGCGTTATCGCAGCGCGTTAACGCCGATAACGGCCCACCACTAGTATAAATATTAGCGATGAGCGAGTACAGCATTATCTGTATCTGTTAACCATATGAATTATCTGTATTTGTAGCTGTACTCTGAATGGGCGGGGCCTAACCCGGAAGTGGGCGGGATTTAACCCGGAAGTGGGTCGGGTTGTCTTGAAATGAGCAAGGTTTTAACTGGTATGTTATTTTAAGCATGCAATTGATATGGGTTGATCAGAAATTGTTATTTATTGCTGATTAGAAAACTATTTACAGGACAGCATCAGCATTGAACAAAAAAAAAAAAAACTCCGACGACCGGCAGGAAGAGGAAGAGAGAGTGTGTGTGTGTGTGTATGTGTGTGTGTAGCTTGATATCCAATACTAGCTTTATTTTTTCACGAAATACAGCAAGAAAGTGTCGGACACTGTGCGTGAAGTAAAAAAAACTGGTTAGAGCCAGGCAGCCAGAGGTTAAAAAAAGAAAAAGAAAAAAAAATCTCCAACAGGCAGAGACGCAACGCGAGTCGGCACCACGTCTGAACGAACCCACTTTTACCAGAACTCTACTGGTTCATAAGTAAGTACCAACCTAAGTAATAACAAACCTGAAGCTGAAGAAACCCTAAACATTAACGGAAAACGACCCGCGAACCTGAGTGACTGAGGGAGAGACAGAGAGCTGTTCTGTGTGTGAGTGATCAGAGCGACACAACAACACATCTGCATTGTGTAGGGGAGGGGCGCTGTAGCCTATCACAGAACGCTGACACAGTCAGCTACCCAATGAGGATTTTCATTCAATCCGAGCACAGATATTGACTCGTATTACTCGTATAATACTCGTACTCTGCAAAAGTGCTTTATCCGTACCGGATACCAACTCTAATAAATATATACATAGACATACCTAGAAATAAACTAGGGCTGTCAAAATTTGCGCGATAATAATGCGTTAACGCAATCTTATTTTAATTCGATTAAGAAAAAATGACACATTAACGCACTCGCGTGCTTGCACGCGAGCTCTGTGTTCGTCAATCGACTTATCAGCCTAAAAAAAAACATGGCGTCAACCCTCACTATACTACCAAAGAAGTGGCTATTTCTAGCCTTGTAAGTGCTTTAAAAAAGTGATTTATTTTTTACCAGGTGAGATGCCCGTAGCACTCAAACATATAGCAGTTTGGTAGAATCGGCTAAAAACAGCGAACTTAGCTTCACGTCGTATAGGCTTTTTTTTGCTCTCCATGGAACTCGTTATCATACTAAACATCCCAGAACCATTTTACACCGGAGTTCTCCTTATTTGGTATGAATAACAATGTGTCATTCCATTTGATTATCTCATTTAACTTCAGTGGGAGTGGATTTAAAATAGAATTTCAAAACTGCGATTAATCGTGAGTTAACTCGCCAATACTATGCGATTAATCAGTTTTAAAAAATGTATCGTTTGACAGCCCTAAAATAAACACAACACAAAAGTGTTCATACACTTTAATAATCACTTCCTCATTCCCCCTCTCTCCCTCTTGCCTGGTCCTCAGACTTATCACAAACACTTTATTTTTATATATCGATAAAAATATAGAACCACACCTGTCTTTCCCAGCCAGGGGTGGTTCTATATTTACCTGAGGTTCCGTCTACTGGTCTTCCAATAGAGGGTAAACCAAGAAGGGATCCCAACCAAGGCTACAATTTTGTAGTGGCTATGAGTGTCGAGCAGGGTCAGGGTTCGAACCTCAATGTTCAATGTCTATTTGTAAGCAACATTGAGCAACATCCTACCTGCTCCTTAATGACTTGTATATGACTTAGCTGTAAGCACTACATGATTTTAGGTCAGTTTTTCCACTCGCCAACAAATTCAGGAGCTCGCCGCCAAAACCCCCAAATCGGAGGCAAATCACGTTCAGTCGTGGTTCGCAAATCAGCACTCAATCACTGTGTGAACTACCAACGACACAATTAAAGTGACCTCGCCGACGTCTGCCAGAAATCTAGCAGGCTAAATACCTGGACATGTCGGCGACTGGCAGTGAGTGCGTCGACTACTACGTCAATGGCATCAAAGCACTACAGCTAATGAAGCGCAAGACAAAACGGGCGGAAACCCGCGAAACCCAGGGGAGGAACTGTAGCACAACAATTCCTGTTTTGCGTGCGTATCGCGTCATTACATACATTTATACATGGACAGTAAGTTTATCTTTAGGTTTATTTAGGTATATTTATTATTTGTTGAAAGCTCTATTTTTTTAAAATGACTCAAGAGAGCCACATGTTTTGATATCATTAAAAAGCCACGCAGAGTGGTATTGGTTTCCAGGAACCAGTTTTCCCTCCCTACACTGAAAGGATAATTAAGAGATCGTAGCAGAAGACAGTAGCAGTGATCAAATCTAGATCAGAGGTGGTTTTGACA